ATGACAGGGTAAACCTGGTTGATCACTACGTTCCCTTTCCACTTAAAAATTAGCCAGTCACGGGGGCCCTACCCAGTTTGGGACGTGGTATCTCAAACTTAAAATGTCAATGTTCTATGACCCACTTTTAGGATTTTATCCTCGAGAGAAAACAATCAGCCAAATAGGTACCTTGAAGGTATATGCAAAAGGATCCGAATCACAGAGATCTTTCTAGAGCATCGTAGTGAGAACGCCTTACATGTTCCCAAAGGGGGGTTTGTGTTCACAAACAAGGGATAATCCATACAATAGAATTCTGTGCAGCTATTAAAATTTTACTGTATTGGGATGCCTGGGTGGCTCATTTGGTTAAGAGTCCAGCTCTTGGTTTTGGCTCAGGCCATGATCTCAGGGTCCTGAGATCGAGCCCCTGTTGGGTTCTGTGCTCAACACTCAGTTTGGAATCTGGGGGGGGGGGTTCTCTCCCTCTCGCTCTTCCTTTGCTCCTCCCCTTGCTCATGCTTTCTCTCTCTTAAATAAATAAACAAATAAAATCTTTTAAAAATGTTACTGTAGGTAGGGGTGCCTGGGTGACCCAGTGGCTTAAGCCTTTGCCTTCGGCTCGGGTCATGATCTCAGGGTTCTGGGATCGAGCCCCGCATTGGGTTCTCTGCTCAGTGGGGAGCCTGCTTCCCCCTCTCTCTGCCTGACTCTCTGCCTACTTGTGATCTTTGTCAAATAAATAAATAAAATCTTTTTAAAAAGTTGCTGTATTTATAAACATGACTGGAGAAAGTGAACAGAGGTAAATTATACAACAGTATGTTTGTCATATTGAATACTGATATTTGTATACAAAGAAAGAAGCCTGGACAGGGGCACCTTGGTGGCTCAGTGGGTTAGGTGATTTTAGCTCAGGTGGTGATCTCAGGGTTGTGGGATCGAGGTCTGTATCATCAGGCTCTGCACTGGGCATGGGGCCTACTTGAGATTCTCTCCCCTGCTCTCCCTCTCTTAAAAAAAGAGAAAAGAAGGGGCGCCTGGGTGGCTCAGTGGTTAAAGCCTCTGCCTTCGGCTCAGGTCATGATCTCAGGGTCCTGGGATTGAGTCCCGCATCGGGCTCTCTGCTCAGCAGGGAGCCTGCCTCCTCCTCCTGTCTCTCTCTGCCTGCCTCTCTGCTTACTTGTGATCTGTCTGTCAAATAAATAAAAAGAAAAGAAAAAAGAAAAGAAAAAGAAGTCTGGAAGGAAATACAGCAAATGTTCATTGCCTCGGGTGGTAGGATTACTAATGGACTTTATTTAATTAATTTTATGTTTGTTTATTTATGAATTGTATTTATTTAAAAAATTTTAAAAGATTTTATTTCTTTATTTGACAGAGAGAGAGAGAGAGAGAGACCACAAAGTAGGCAGAGCAGTAGGCAGAGGGAGAAGCAGGCTCCCTGCTGAGCAGAGAGCCCAATGGGGAGCTCAATCCCAGGACCCTGAGATCATGACCTGAGCCGAAGGCAGAGGCTTTAACCCACTGAGCCACCCAGGCGCCTCTATTTATGAATTTTATATAATGAACCTGTAATAAAGTAATAGCTTCCTCCTTGGACATGCCAGGCTATATGTGAAGCACCTTATAGGAGTTTCATTTGATCCTCACAATGATCATTTCAGGGGTGCTGGTAAACCCAGTTTAGAGAGGGAGAAACTGAGGCTTGGTGAGTATAAGTCGTAAGCTAATGAGTTTCCTGTGGCTACTGTAATAAGGGACCACAAACTCAGTAGTTTACAACAACACAGATTTGTTTATTATTATTTTTTTAAGATTTTATTTATTTATTTGAGAGAGAGAAAGAGAGAGAAGGAGGGAGAGCATGGACCTGGGGGAGAGGCAGAGGGAGAGGGAGAAACAGACTCCCCATTGAGCAGGGAGACCGACTCAGGTTTCGATCCCAGGACCCCTGGATCACTACTTGATCTGAAGGTGGACACTTAACCAACTGAGCCACCTAGGTGCCCCTGACAATACAGACTTATTATCTTACTGTTCTATATAGTAGAAGTCTGAGGTCTCAGTGAGCTAAAATCAAGGTGTCAGCACGGCTACGTTCATTCTGGAGTCTCTAGGGGAGAATCTGTTTCCTTGCCTTCTCTAGCTTCTAGAGGCCACCCAGACTCCTTGACTCATGGCCCCTTCCTCCATCTTCAGAGACAGCAGTGGCTGGTAGTTTTCTCACATGACATCACTCTGCTTTTGACAATCCTGCCCTCCTGCTCCCACGGAGGGACCTTTGAAAATATCTTGGGCTCCTCCTCCCCCAGATAATCCGGGATAATCTCCCAATTTTAAGGGCATCTGATTAGCAACCTTAATTCTATCTGCAACCATAATTTCCCTTTGCCATGTAATATTCATAGACTCTGGGGTTAGGATGTGGGCAGCTTTGAGAGGCCAATTCTGCCTCTCACCCAGAAGGTTTCACAGGTACTGGGTGAGGGATTTGGAATATGAACTTATTCTGTTTCCCGTATCTATCCCCTTAGATTATACTATGTTGTATATTGAAGAAAAATTTAAACTTTGTTTGGTTAAAAAAATAGAAGGGTATTCCCTTTCCTGTCTCTTTAGCCTTATTCAGACTTATTGCTATGCCATCCATCTTCCCCTACCTAAATGCCCCACTCCAGCATAACCCATCTGCCCACTGTTCCAAAACCCCAAACTCACTTCCACTTCAGCTTGTCCTCATGCTGTCTATTAAACCTGGGAGCTTCACTCTTGGTCATCTGAGAAGTTGTGCAAAGAATTTATTAGGGGAAACGGCTGTGCAAATAAGCGAGAGGGAGTCAAGAAAGACTGGGAGAGCAATCTTACCCTCAGAGCAGGTGACAGGGAAGGAAGCGTCTACCCAAGGTCCAGTTTCAAGGAAAGCAGGCAAGCCCGTCCTGACTACAGAGGGGCCCGGTCTCCTGGCTCTGCTTTAGTACCTCTGCAGAGCTCAGTCATTCCCTGGGGGGAAGCCTGCCAGAGCACAGCAGGGGAGACCCTGGCCAAATTCTCTCCCAGCACTCAGAGCTGACAGGCACATTCTCATGTTTGCCAAGTGGGGTCTTGGTGACACCTTTCCTAGAGGAGGCTTTCTGGACTCGAGGTGGTGACTGTGTCACCGCTATGCCCTCCCTGCACTCCCAGCTAGAGTGTGCCTAAGGGCTTTGTGTCTGGCTTTTGTTTTCAGCCAGGCACGCTTTCACTGGGTTTTGTCACTTACACCTTCCCAAGCCTCAGTTTATTTATCTATGGAATGGGGTAACAGCAGTGCCTCCCACATTGGGTTGGTGTGAGGATGAAACAAGATGTGGAGCTTCAAGGCCTTCCTTGGGTCAGGGCCTGGCACAAGGCAGTGGTGATGGTTAGTAAATGGTAGGCATCCTCCCTTGAGTACTCTTTGGCCTAGCATGTCCCTAATAATATATTCCTGAAGCTATCTATCAAGTTTTTAATATACGTGTAGGAAGATGTTCATTTCCTCAACATTTGAAAAAGGGAAAAACCAACAAAGAGCATAAATGTCCAACATCAATAGCATTGTTGAATAAACTGTGGTGCATCTGCAACAGAAGCCCTTAAAATAATGATCTATTTTTGATATAGACATTCTGTAATGGTAGAGTTTAGTTGTTTTTTTCCAGAGAGGGAGAAAGGTGGGGGAGCAGGGGGAGAGAGAGGTGTTTTCTTTTTTTTTTTTTTTTTAAGATTTTATTTATTTGACACAGAGAGAGACAGAGATCACAAGTAGGTAGGGAGGCAGGCAGAGAGAGAGAGAGAGGGGGAAGCAGGCTCCCTGCAGGACCCTGAGATCATGACCTAAGCCAAAGGCAGAGGCTTAACCCACTGAACCACCTAGACGCCCCTAAAAGAAAGAATCTTAAGCAGGCTCCACATCCAGCACCAGCCTGACCACAGGCTTGATCTCAGGACCCTGAGATCATATCCTCAGCTGAAACCAAGAATCCAAAGCTTAACCAATTGAGCCACCCAGGCTCCCCTATGATCGTAGAGTTTAATGCAATTGTTTAAGTGAATAAACAGAAAGAAATTGTTTATTGATGTCCAAGTAGTGGAATGGAGATGATTGTTTACCTCTTTGAGTTTTTTTTCCCTCCGAATTATCTACAATGAACTTGTATTACCACTAAGAAAACAAAAGGATTTTTTAATTCCCTGGGCAGGGGCGGTTATCATTGTCAATGGCTGTTCTAAGGTCAAACAGGGCAAGGACTATTAAATAGTACCCATTATATTTAGTAAAAAGAAAGCATTAGCGGCCCCCTTGGGAGCAGTTTTGGTAGAGGCAGAGCCCCTTGTCAGCAAAACAGGAATAATAATTATAGCTTAAAAATTTAACTTAAAAAAAAATCACTTCCCCGGAATCTTGTTTGCACTAACTGGGGACAGAGAGATCAGATATATGTGCAAATACAGTTGTCCGCTGAGAAAAATGCTCAAAATTTCCACCGCACGTCCTTTCAAACGGCAGTTAACCAAAACAGTGAGCATGCGCAAAAATACAGGGCTGGGAGGGCAATCAGGCTTGCAGTAAGAAGCGGGGGAAAAGGCAAGGCCTTACCATTTCTGCATTTAGAAAGTAAAGAATCATGCAAAATGTTTAAAAAAAATAATAAGAAATGCAAAGCTAGCTTAATTGCATTTCTTGAAACAATGGTCTTGCAAATCGGGCCACAGCTCCCCGGAACAATGCAGCCCCACGTAGCAAGCACGCTCAGCGCAAAAAGACAGGCAAAGACTACTGCATTGATCTGGGAGCGCGAGACGCCCCGCGCTACCGATTTTGACCAATTAGAGAGCAGGATGGGCCTGGCCTGGCCTATGATTGGAGGATCGGGGCGAGGCGGGGCTGCGGCTCCGACGCGTGCGCCTGGCCTGGCCTGGCCTATGATTGGAAGATCGGGGCGAGGCGGGGCTGCGGCTCCGACGCGTGCGCCTCCCCAGCCGCTGGTCCCGCGCCTCCTCTGGCGGGTGTGCAGACTGCTGGGAGTTGGCTCCGCTCGACTGTTCTCAGTCTGCAGAGACTCTTCCCCGTTGTGTGCCCAGCTCGGCTCCGCAATGCCGGTGGACCTCAGCAAGTGGTCCGGGGCTTTGAGCCTGCAGGAAGTGGACGAGCGGCCGCAGCATCCGCTGCAGGTTAAATACACCGGGACAGAGATCGACGAGCTGGGCAAAGTGCTGACGCCCACCCAGGTACCCGAGGGCGTTGGGGGTGCAGCCGCTCCAGGCTTGGAGGCCGGCGGAGAGGGGGAGGGTGATCCGGCCTCTCTGCGCCCGGTGCTCCGAGGGAAGGGGGTCGCGGGGCCCACGCCGCAGGCCTGCGGACACCTGCGGGCACCGGGAACCCTGCACGTGGCGGGCGGGGCTCGGCCTGCAGGAGAAAGCGATCTACTTTCTAGCGGCTTCAAGGCGTAGGCTGGGGCCTAGGCCCAGAAACAGCCTGGGCGGCGGGCACGGGGGCGGGGCGGTGCCTGAGATGTAGTGGGCCGTGGCCGCCCCTTGGGCCCCAGACCTCTCCTAGGGTCTCGGGACTTTAGGCCCCAGTTTGGGGAGCAAAAGCCCCACCCGAGGGCATGTGACGCATTATGTAACCGGTGACCAGCATCGCCCAGCGATTCCTCCTTTTGTCTTAGCGCGCAAGAGCATGAAGCTGTGCAAAGGTAAGTGCGTTCTGCAGCTGGAAGGCTCGAGGGCAACGGCCGCGGCCTTGTTTTACCGTTTGCCCTGGGAGAGCAGATCGGGGCCTGGACACCGGAACTGGCGGAACTGGAGTGCCCCACAGTTGGCAGTTGTTGGTCGTGAAGCTCCGGGGCAGTGGTGTGAATAAATTGCTCCGACAGTTTATTGTTGTGGATGTGGAGTGACCTTCTAGAAGCCTCTGTTATCCCGGACTCACTGTCCAGTCCGGCCATTTTCTGTGAACAAAGTATCCAGTTAATTCAGATGTCACTTTAGCAGGCCCCAGCTAAGCTGCTGGTCACCAGACCTAGACACTCCCCACCATATGAGGTTGTAGTTCAGAGGACTGAGTCGCCTGCTCCAGGGTGGAAATCCTGACCCCACGTCTTTCTGTTAATCACATGCTAGGACACCAGTCCTACAGTGTCCTTTGGAGTAAAGTAAATAATGTGTATTAAACGTAAGCTCCTGGCTCTTAGCAGAGTCCATACACTTTAGCTTTTATTAATAATTTACTGTGTTTTACCTTTGAGGAACCTGAAATCAAAGAGTGTTGGCTTCTTCAGCATTTCTGACTTTTTTTTTTCTTTTTTTTTCCATTTCTGACTTTTTTAACAACGAAGTGGTTGCTTCCTACAGGTTAAGAACCGGCCCACCAGTATTGCGTGGGATGGCCTTGATCCTGGTAAACTCTACACCTTGGCCATGACAGATCCAGACGCTCCCAGCAGGAAGGACCCCAAGTACAGGCAAGTTAGGGAAAGGTTGGCAACACCAGGTCATCCAGACAGGACCTGATGCTTCTGGCCCTGTGTACGTACGTCCCTTGCTGGACATGCTGTGCCAGGAGGATGGACACCCAGTTTGGGATGCTCACACACACGCTTCAGCCAGAGTGTGCATTTCCTACCCCTTCAGTCCCTAGACCAGGAGTCTAGAAACTACAGCTGAGAGAGCCCCATCTGCCCGACACCTGTATGGCCCCACGAGTAAGAATGGTTTTTACATTTATCTACTTTGGAACATGTGAAAATCATACGACATTCAGATTTCAGTGTTCATCAATGAAGTTTTGTCGGGACACAGCATGAGACCTTCTTACATCTTGTCTGTGGCTTCTTTCACGCTGTAGCCGCAGAGTTGAATAGTGGCAGAGACCACTATGTGAACTACAAAGGCTAAAATGTTTTACTGCCTGGCTCTTTGCAGAAAAGTTTGCAGATAACTCCCGAGAGACTCAGAGGGTGGGAGGGAGGCACCGGGCGCTCTCTTCTGCAGACCAGTGGGGTTTGTGCTGGCCAAGGAAGCAGGACTGTGTGTCTCCTTCTTCGCCACAGCCTGGTCTGGAGCACGTGCTGCATGCACATTTGCTGGCTGTGCCGTGAGCGTGTGCTTAACTTCTGCACCGCTGACTGTTCTGTGTTCCTCGTCTCAGGGAATGGCACCATTTTCTGGTGGTCAACATGAAGGGCAATGACATCAGCAGTGGCACAGTCCTCTCCGATTATGTCGGCTCTGGGCCTCCCAAGGGCACAGGTCAGTAAAGGCTGCTTTGTCAGGGAGGTGGGGGGCTGGCAGTGGGTGCACATCAGGATTGGCCCCAAGGGCTGCAGATTTTAGTCTGGGTTCCCCGAGATCCCTTAGCCTAGTGGAGCTTCCTGGCAGTGCAGTTCACCTCCGAGGCAGTTGCCTGCCGGAGACATTGAGACCTGGAGTAGCAGTAGCATCAGGTGGCCAGAACCTTGGGTTCTGGTCAGGGGGACCCTCCGTTAGCTTTTTTGCCTCTCAGCTGCTAGGCCTTGCTATGCAGGGCAGTTGGGGAGAGGATTCCAAGGAAGCAGTGTGGCAGAAAGCTTGGAACAACTTCTTGGGGAGGCGGTGGGGGTGGTGATTGGACACATTTAACATGATCAGTTCTATATTCAGTCTTTGCCCCGTGGGATCTTTGGCTTTCCAGTTCTCGTGAAAGATCTCAGAAATGATCATAGTTTCCTAAATAAATATAAAAAATTGGCTTCTTCATTTCTTTCTAGCTCCTTTCGAAAATCTAGGGTGGTATCATCTCGAAAAGATTTGGAAGGCTTTAAGAAGTATAGCGAAGATACACATGTTCTGCATACAGAGGGGGAGAACACTGTATTGAAAGTCTGAGTGGGATAAGCTAACAGTGGGAGATGCACTGTTAGTGCTTGTTGTGCATTACAGGATGCTTTCATTTGCTGGAACAAAGTAGTAGTCGTGGGTGGACACGGTGTCAGGCCCTGTTAGTCTGAGCAGGTACAGGAAGGTCCCTGACAAGGACAGTTGTCCATAGAGTCATGATTTGTCTGTAGATCCCAAAGCTTCAGATGGCCTCAAGCCCTCTCATGAGTTCATAAGAAGAAGGTGAAGGTACGTCCTTCCCAGGGATCTATTAAGTTCTCTAGGGCAGTTACACAATTAGGCACTTTAATTATGGGAAGTACACACATGAGAATAAAGCAGGTCTCTCAAGTAGGACCTCATTAACAAAAAAAGCCTCTGCGACTGACTTTTTTCCCCCTTTTGCTTTTAAAAATTATTCTTTTCGTATAACTTGCCTATAATAAAATGCCTAAATCATCATTGTTTTAGTCCATAGAAATTGACTGACAGATGAAGGTGACCACACGAGTGACTTAGAAAAGAAGACGTTTTTCAGCATCTTTGCTACTTAGTCGGTCAGAGTGAATTTTACCAGGCACTAGGTAGGGTAGGTTCTGGGTCAACGAGCAAACACTGTTGCTTTTTGGAGTTCTCTTTCTAATGAGGAGACTAAACTGAAAAGGCAGACTTTTTTAGGGAAGTGTTACTGTCCCAAGTGAAAGGGGTATGGAGATGCGGATGGTGGAAAATGACTAGCGGTTGGGGCCCAGGGGAGATGGGCTGGGAGCCCGGAGAGGATGAGGGAAGGGCAAAGGTGATCGGGTGAGCGAGGGCCTTCGAGGCTGTGAAGGTGGGTATGGACTTGACCCCAGTTGCAGTGGGAAGCCACTGGGGGATTGTCAGCAGGAGAGTGATCTGACTCCTTCCACCTCTGCGGGTCCTCAGTGCCCCTCTTGTAAACGGGGTGGCTGGGGCCCTCCAAGTTGGCGCTTCCGTGAACACGGGGGACGTCTCCATTCCCATGGCCTAGCTGTGTTACATCTTCCTTCCTGCCTCTCCCTCCAGGCCTTCACCGCTATGTCTGGCTGGTTTATGAGCAGAACGGGCCACTGAAGTGTGACGAGCCCATCCTCAGCAACCGATCCGGAGACCACCGTGGCAAATTCAAAGTGGCATCTTTCCGCAAAAAGTACGAGCTTGGGCCCCCACTGGCCGGCACGTGTTACCAGGCGGAATGGGATGACTATGTGCCCAAACTCTATGAGCAGCTCTCTGGGAAGTAGGGGAATGCCAGGAGATAGAAACCATCCTGGAAACCTCAAGCAGTATTCTCAAGTTCAGTGATGCATGTAGATTTCTCTGCTTCCCCGTTCCCATTCTCACAGGTGAGGCCTGAGCAATCAGGTAGTGGTTTAGAGTGACCTTTCCTTCTGTCTGTCCTTTATAATTCTAGAGGGTCACACTGCCCATTTATGTTTTGGTCAAATTTGAACTCCATTTTGGGGGATATTTTGGTACTGTGTTGGGCTCATCAAATTGTTACTATAAGAATAGCAATTCAGAATTTTAAGAAATAAAAATTGAGGTAAAAAGACCAGGTCTTTGGTAGTAGAGCAGAGTGTCAAAGAATCTTTAAGGTAAAAAAAAATAAAAAAATAAAAAGATTGATTGCCTCTGCCTTTGCGAGCCTGAGTCCGGAATTGTGCATGATGGCACTTCTGGGTCGTGTTTTCACGACCGTGTTTCTCACCAAGACAGCCCGAGGCTGGTGTGTCCACGAATCCCCATGGTACATCTCAGACTGTTTACTAGGGGTCAGTGTTCTGCTCTGGCTCCTTGGAAGAGCAGTACTGGAACAAGCAATAGGAAGAGTGGCTTTGCGGTTAAGGCACAGCCATCTAGATGCGCTGCAGGGCTGGGTGAGGGGTTGTCAGAAACCCCGAGGTCTGTGTCTGTTGAACTGGTCACTCTCTGTGGAAAAGCCGATCTGGAGTTGCGGAATATTGTGTTAATTCTGCTGTTTGCTTATAGTTGAATAAAAATAAAAACATTGCGTGGATGATCAAGGTCTCCAGATATTTTGCCCTTTTTGGGAATGGGGCCTCATAAATGTGGGAAGTCAAGAGACAACCTCAAAGGGTGAGTAGCCCCTTTCCCTGGCTGGGATTGATTCAGGTCCCCTGTCTGGGACTTGATTCAGGGACCGTAGAGAGGATCCACACCTGTACACGTGCCATCAAACTACAGCAGGAATAACCATTCCAACTGGAGGGTTTGGGGAAAAAAAAAAACAAAACAAAAAACAAAACCCACAAAGTTTTAGGCCAGCTCCTTTGCAGAAAAGGTACCTTTGCTTTTCACAAGTGGTCCTTTTCCATCTGAGCATGAAACCAGTGGGAAACCTCCCCACTGGGTGGTGTTGCGTGGAGGAACAATGACTTGGAACATGACTTGGGCTACACCTCTCCCTGTCCTGACATACAGCCCATATAGAATCCACACCCAAAAGGCGCAAGGGTAGGTGGGGGAGATTACAGTTGACCCTTCAACCGTATGGGGGATAGGTGTACTGCCCTGTGCAGTTGAAAATCTGTATAACTTTTCATTCTCCCAAAACTTAATTGCTAATACCCTACTGTTGACTTGGAAGCCTTCCCAGGAACACATAGTTAACCCATGTTGTGTGTTACATGTATTGTATGCTGTATTCTTACAATGAAGTAAGCTAGAGAAAAGGAAATGTCATTAAGGAAATGATAAGGAAGAGAAAAGACATTTATAGCCTTGTACTGAAAAAAAGTCCACACGTAAGTGGACCCATGCAGTGGAAACCCCTATTGTTCAAGGATCAGCTGTACTTTCACACCCTTTGATGCACCAAAAAAGAAAGGAGGTGTTTGAAGGATCCTATCACTGACCTGGTTTGTGTCAGAGAAGGGATCATGGCGGGAGCTAATTAAGCAAGGCTGGGTCTTTTCCCCACCTTTCATTGTAGTTGCTTCTCTGGAGACGTTGCTGGAAATGTTGCTTTGTGTAATCTCTATGGGGGGGCGGGGAGTGGTAGAGAGCAATTATTTTCTAACTTCAGGGTTTTAAAATTCAATTTTTAAATAATTTGCAAAACAAAAGTTATATAAAGAAAATAACTACCCCACCGACTATTTTTTATTTTATTTTTATAATTTTTTTAAAAGTAGGTTCCACACCCAACTTGAACTCAAGAGTCACATATTCTGCCTTCTGAGCCAGCCAGATGCCCCTTACCCTGTTGCCTTTTTTTTTTTTTAAAGGTTTTATTAGAGAGAGGGAGAGCACAAGCAGGGGGAGCGGCAGGCAGAGGGAGACGCAGGCTCTCCCCCGAGCAAGGAGCCTGATGTGGGACTCGATCTCGGAACCTTGAGATCAGGACCTGGGTTAAAGGCAGATGCTTAAGTGACTGAACCCACCAGGTGTCCTTACCCTGTTGATTTTAAATGAAGAAGCAATGCATGCGTGTGGTTAGGCAAGGTACACAGCCCAGGAACCAGTGCCTTCCACTTTCACTTTCCTGGCTCTTCAGCAGCGGTTTGAAAAAAGACACAGGGCACCTGGGTTGCTCAGCTGTTAAGCAGCTGCCTTCAACCCAAGTCATAATCCCAGGGTCCTGGGACTGAGCCCCACATCGGGCTCCCTGCTTGGCGGGAAGCCTGCTTCTCCCTCTACCACTCCCCCTGCCTGTGTTCCATCTCTCTCTCTCTCTCTCTCTGTCAAATAAATAAAATCTTAAAAAAAGAAAAGAAAAGAAAAGAAAAGACACAAACATGAATATCCACATAAGCATATATCTGGCATAGATCTACATATTTCTTCCTTAAAAATTACGGTCTTGCTATACACACCAGGTTTGCACAGTGTATCTTAAGTTAACAGGGCCCTACAATTCATATTGTCATTTTGAACAAATACTCTATTTTCCGGATGTTTCATAATTAACCAGTCTAATCCCCTACTGTGATTAGATTATATGTATACATGCTTCTGCAAAGTAATTTCCTGGAGTAAAATTCTAGCATTGAAATAATTAGGTCAAAGGGTATATACATTTTCAATCCTGATACTGACAAACCACCTTCTAAAAAGATCACATGGTCATATTCAAGTCCATGGTTATGAAAGTATTTATCTTCCCATACCCTTAAGCAGTTTTCTCAAACTCTGAACATTCTGATAATTTGAAATTTATGTGTACTTAAAATCTTTCACTCTTTTTTCTCTGAACTGTTTTCTTTGAGACTTGTCTGCTGACCACAGCACTTTGTCAGACATAGAGACTGGAAAATCAATGAGGAATTATGATGGTATGTTAGTTTTCTGGTCTAAAATAGGCATAGACTCAAAAATGATTCAGAAAAAAGGTCAACAACCCAACCAAAAAAGGTGAAGTGTATATGTAAGAAGTTCACAGGAAAAGAATACATAGGAGCTATATTAGGAGGCATAAAAGCAAGGGGATAGCCTGTCTCACCTATTAAACTTGGAAGGTGGGTTGCCTGGGTGGCTCAGTGGGTTAAAGCCTCTGCCTTCTGCTCAGGTCATGATCTCAAGGTCATGGGATAGAGCCCCACAGCGGGCTTTTTGCTCAATAGGGAGCCTGCTTCCCCCTCTCTCTGTCTCTATCTGCCTCTCTGCCTACTTGTGATCTCTGTCTGTCAAATAAATAAATAAAATCTTTTTTTTTTTTTTTTTTTCCTAAAGATTTTATTTATTTATTTGACAGAGAGAGATCACAAGTAGGCAGAGAGGCAGGCAGAGAGAGAGGAGGAAGCAAGCTCCCCGCTGAGCAGAGAGCCCGACGCGGGGCTCGATCCCAGGACCCCGAGATCACGACCCGAGCCGAAGGCAGCGGCTCAACCCACTGAGCCACCCAGGCGCCCCTAAATAAATAAAATCTTAAACAACAACAACAACAACAAAACTTGGAAGGTGAGGGGAATTTGCCCCAGGGCATCAAGTTGGGAAGTGGGTGATCCGGATTCCCAAGCTTATACATGGCGGCCCATGGCCTACATCCTCTCCTGGGTCTGGGAGCAAAGGACTTCTGTTCTTAAATTGATGCTAAGTCAACGGCCTCAGCATCCACTTAAAACCTGTGAGCTGTTTGAGTTGCTCGGGGCTGTAGACCAGATCCTTAAATGGCCTATGGATAGGCTCTGTATGTTGTGACCCCCATCTGCCTCCAGCTCCCTGCGGTTGTCTGCTCATTAGGCCCCAAACTTGCCGGCTGCCTCTCAGTTCCCTGACAAGCCAGATTGGTCCTTTACAAATCCTGCCTGGAACCTTCCTCTTCCACGTTCTCTGACCCTTTCTCCCTTAACTGACCTTCAGGGCATCCCGACGAGGCTGGGTTCTCCTGCACCATTCCATTGTAATATTAACCACTGTAATTTTAAAATCTGTAAACTTGTGTCATTTATTTGTTTAAATGTTTATCTTCTCCCTTAGACTGGATCCTTCTTGAAGGCAAGGACAAGCAGTGTCCTGCTCAGTATCTGTAGCACTGGACATAAGAATCTAATGACCATCTATTGAATGAATCGTTGTAAAGAGGTTCTTAAGTTTAGGGGGTATGGACGTCTTTATATCCATAGACCATATCATAAAGGTCCTTCTCCCTTTCCCCAGATGTATACTTCTCACACACAACTAAGTTTTTACAGAGCTCTCTAAAGCCCATTCATCAGCTCCCTAATTCTGATGGACATGAACATCAGAAAGCTGGTGTTAGTCTGGTGTCCCCTCCACTCAGGAATCTGTATCTTTCAGATTATTATTATTTTTAAAGGTTTTGTTTATTTTAGAGCGGAGCTGGCTGGCAAGGAGGGCAAAGGGAGAGGGAAAGAATCTCAAGCAGACTCTATGCTGAGTACAGGGCCCCACGATCTCACGACCCTGAGATCATTACCTGAGCTAAAACCAAGAGTTGGGACTGAGCCATCCAGGCATCCCTGTAATTAATTTTTTTAAATGTTTAAAATTATATCTTCTTGACATCTCTTTATTCATGAATGTCTTTTATCTTTGATAATGCTCTTAGTTTTGAAGTCTATTTTAGTTGATAGACCTCTTATGCCTATTTGCACGGCGCTTTTCTCCCCCATTCATTTACTTTGAATTTATCTGTCTTTATTTAGTTAGTCTCTTATAGGCAGCAAATAGTTCTTTTTAAAAACTCACTCTGGGGGCGCCTGGGTGGCTCAGTGGGTTAAAGCCTCTGCCTTCGGCTCAGGTCATGATCTCAGAGTCCTGGGATCGAGCCCCACATTGTGCTCTCTGCTCAGGAGGGAGCCTGCTTTCTCCTCTCTCTCTGCCTGCCTCTCTGCCTACTTGTAATCTCTGTCAAATAAATAAAATCTTAAAAAAATTAAAAACTCACCCTGTAAATATTTATGTAATTATCCCTATGGTGGATTTAGGTCTACCATTTTTTTTTTTAAAGATTCTATTTATTTATTTGACAGAGATCACAAGTAGGCGGGGTGGGGGGAAGCAGGCTCCCGGCTGAGCAGAGGCCCGATGTAAGGCTTGATTCCAGGACCCTGAGATCATGACCTGAGCCAAAGGCAGAGGCTTAACCCACTGAGCCACCCAGGCACCCCTAGTTCCACCATTTTATGTTTTCTGTTTGCTCCTCTTTTTCTTACCTTTTGGATTATTTGAATATCCAATATATCTATTGAATTTTTGGCTATCACACCTCTTTTGGTTTTCTTTTTGGTAATTACTCTAGGAGTTACAATATACATACTAATTTCTCAGAGTCTGCTTAGAAGAATGGTAAATTCTTCATGTAAAATGTAGAAACATGGTAACCATATGGGGTCCTTTAGCCCCCAACCTTGGTTATAGTTGTCATCTGGGTTGCATTTAGATACATCAAAACCCTCCCCAATGGTATAATTTTTGCTTTCAATGAAAAATATATTTCAATATATTTTAAAGAATATAGGAGAGGAAAGGGGTTTTTTTTAATATTTATCTAGACATATACTATTTGTTGCTCTTCCTTCATTCCCAGAGATCCAA